ATCAAGAACCGTTTAAAACAAATCAGCAATTGTACAGTGCAGCAACTCAAATTATTTGATCAGTACAGTATAATTTAATGATTCATCCCCAAATCACTTTGAAACGTTTTTACATGCCACGGAAAAGCCAAGTATCCAGACAGCTTTTCCTGGTAATGAATTTTAGAGTTCAGAAGCAACCACGGCAAAAGCATTACTTCATGCGTTCCCCAGCCTTAACATCAGACAGCGCTGGTTAGGGGAACAAGGCCGTAATAGGGGGTGGGCATATGATTCCACTGGCGAGTAAGGAGCAGAGTCACCAAGTTTGGTGTCATGGTTAGGAGCGCGGACTCTAATCTGGGAGAAGTGGGTTTGATTCCCCACTCCTCCACATGCAGCTGTTAGTGTGACCTTGGGTCAGTCACAAGTTCTCTCGGAGCTGTTCTCTCAAGGGCAGTTCTCGAGAGAGCTCTCTCAGCCCCACCTCCCTCACAGGGTGTCTGTTGTGGGGAGGGGGAAGGTGATTGTAAGCCACTCTGAGACTCCTTAGGGTACTGAAGGGTGGGGTATAAATCCAGTCTCCTCCTCATCCTCTTCTTCTTCTCCTTCTCCTCCTTCCAAACCCTGAGATTCTCTGGGTGGGGCTTGATGATGGCCTATTGAACAGCTGGGCTACCAGTGGAACACGCACATATCACTAAGTCGTGTCCCAGGGGGTGTCTGTGAATGTGTGGCCTGGCAGTCCGCCGTGTGCAAAGGGCAAAATGCAGTGAGTGCCAGGTTGTTGCTTCCCATCTCCAGTTTTTATGTCCAGTAGTTACAGCAGGCAGGCAGGCCTGGTAGAAGAAGCCCTCAAAGGTGTGTTTTGGGGGAGGACCCCGATAGCCCCAGGGGGTCTGACTGGCTGCCTGAAAAGCTGGTTTCAGCTTGCTGCTCCGGGTCCCTGAGAATGAGCCGTGGGGGTCCCGGGCGTGGGTGGCTGTCATGCATCACCTTGGAATAGCCAAAAACAAAGTTCCGCGTCATCTTCTACCTCCCTGGGGCTGGGTGGGAGGAGGGTTGCATCTCCAGTTTCCTCTCCCAGCAGCTTTGCAGGAAGAGCCGGGGGGGCACGTGAGAGTGTCAGCTGGGACTCGGGACGGGGGGGGGTCCACATTCCAGCTCTGCCCAGTGGGAGCTGGCCGGGCGACCTTGAGCCCGTCTCAGTCTCACCTGCCTCACAGTGTGTTGGTTGCCAGTGTCCTAAGCCACTGTGAATCCCCATGATGGAGAAAAGTGGGATGTCATTTTTTATTTTATTTTTTTAATGTGGAACTGCATTTTGGTGATGTTAAAATCAGACCTGGTCTCCCCCCGCCGCCAGTCCCACCCCTCCCTCTCTCCATCAGTGGGCCTTTTGCTAGTAGTGCTGGTGGTGCCCACGGTGGCTTTCAGAACCTATAAAGGTTAGTCAAGAATAGAAGAGGGCCAACTCTTAAAATCTAATTATGAAACCTAAAAAATAGACATGTATTTATTCAACACAGATTAAAATAACGAATAAGGGCCCAGTCGCACCTCATATACAAATATAAAAACATACAAAGGCTGATGAAATAGACCTAACGCGTTTCGGCCTTCACAGGCCTTCCTCAGAGGTCTGATACAAATAGACCATGTTGGCTGATATGTAAAAATATATACAGTCATACATATGTCGCCACGATGGCAACACTTGCAGGACTGCTCAGTTGCTCCTGCGGGCAGGTAAGCAGAAGGCATGTCCGGGAGAGGAACGGCCAGCGAAGCCAAGGCCAGGTGGGGTCTTTGTGCCGGAACGTGTAACCGACCTTTCTTTTTCTCCGCCAGGCTTTATCCTGTGGATAAGAGCAGAGTGAACGAATACGGAGAGTCTTATGAAGAGAAGCCAAGAAGAAAGCCCCACAAGGAATAATCTGAGGACACTCTAGGAGTCTGCTGGGCCTGGGAATCGGCTGCCACGTGTTTGACTTTTGGGGAGAGCCTCTAAGTACAAGAGTATTCTTCAGAGCTTGTGACAGAACTTCACGGACAATAGATCGTCTGCATTGCCAAAATAAGTTTTGATCGTCTGTGGATCCAGCTGTCTTTTTATTGTTTGCGCTGGTGTTCAAGAAGTCTGCCAATATTTTTGCCAGGTTTCAGTCAACCATTTTAAATTTCCATGGAAGTTTCTACATGCATCTTAGTAGCATCGATCCCACAGATCTGTTCAAGTGGTGGTGGTGGTGGTGGCGTCCTCTGGTGCAAAGCACCTTCCCCTGCCTTGCCCCGGAGGGAGGCACCCCGGCTAGTGATCAGTTGATGGGCCCCATCCCTGTGTTAACTCACTGGGCAATGGGAGGGGGGGCATGCGCATGTCCGCCTGGCCCCAGGGTGATTGCGGGGTTGGCTGGATGATGCAAATACGTGGAAGGAGGTTCCTGTGGCATCAGAAAACGGCATTGTGGATTATGGGGCTGGGGGTGCCCGCATGGATTGGTTCACCACCCATTTGTGCCGTGGCCTGCGGGCTCTCTCCGGATGTTCTTCCCTGCATGGTGAGTTAATGTGCAGACTGGCTGCACAGGGCTACTGTCTTGAACTGTCCAGCAAATGTCATTGTGATATGTATATTCTAGAACCACTTTTCTGGCTGCAAGAACTACAAGTTATATTGTGAATAATGTTGAAAAGACAAAAAAGCAGACCCTTAAAACCTTTGTATAGGGAAAACAAGTTTTTACTCTTCACTGGACCAATCCCTGGGCACAGTCCGTTCCACTGGGTGGGAGAGCAGCTCATGCTTACACACTCCCCCTCTGAAATCATCGGAAGTTAAAAAGAAGGGTCTCTTCGGCTACATTTCCGCCCCGCCCCTCTCCCCGCGATCGTATATCATCTTGGTCTTCAGCAAGGAAATCTGTGCTTTACATAGTGATACTTGTTGCAGCAACTGAACTAAGAATTGTTGCATAAGCCATTCTAGGCTGACACGGGATGCAAACACCTTGCGGTTTGTTATTATTTTTTTTGAAAAGTCTGTTTTTAAAATGGCAGAAGCATAAATCCAACTGAGCGCATGCAGCAAAGAGTATTCAGGAGTTTCCTTCATCCATCAAGCTGGACCTTCTTGATTCCGTCAAACTCTGGACCATGTTTGTGTGTGAGCACCTTTAAGTTACAGTTAGGCTTTGAAAAAGTCTATTAATACCTACTTGCATGACACACTCATGGTGCCAATTGTACTTCAGCAGGGAAAACAGGAGACCTTCCTTTTTCTCATTCACGTCAAACAGTGGTAGAGGAAGTTGGATGCAACAGATGGGAATCTGAGGGCATCAAAGGAAAAACTACGGCAGGCACACTGCTCAAAATCTGCATGTCAGAAAAATTTGCTCCCAGTTGCCATAATGTTCATTTGTTGTTGGTTTTTTGTTTTGTTTTTTTTGGGGGGGTACAAGGTAAAAATTTACATTCCAGTCCTCTTATGAATTTGCTTGCTACGTTTACTGTTAAGTCAAAAACACAGTACTGCTTGTGGAATATAATTTATTTTAAGCATGTTCAAAATGGCAGTGAGATGAACTCATAAAGACCTTTGCGGCTTACAGCAGCATGAAGTACTAGACGGCCATCCTACAAGCCTTGTTTCGAGTAGCCCTTGGATTCCATGCCCCCCCCTTTTTTTAAAAACTACGTAAATATGTACATTTTTGAGTCCCCTGAGAGCAGCGTACCGTAACCGTAAAGCGCCTGTTCATGCAGGTGAAGGAGTTCTGTATGTCCCTGCAACCGCTCTGCCATCCTGTCTGTTAGGGGTCACCAGTAAGGGGCACAGGGCCGCCGCCGTCACATGCACAGCTATGCAGGCTGAAGCCCATGGACTCGAAGGAGACTTTAACATGTTCAATTCTGCCTTGGGGGGGGAGGGGCGGGTTATTGTGTTGTTCTGCTAAAAAGAACTGCATTCGGGATCACTACGCTGTGTTAGTCTGTTGCTGCAAATTGTAAAAAGCCCAGAGTAGCACCTTTAAGACCAACACACTTTATTGTAGCATAAGCTTTCAAGAAACACAGCTCTCTTTGTCAGATGCATGGAGGGTATGAAGAATATCTCTGGCCAGTGTCTTCATACCCTCCATGCAGCTGACAAAGAGAGCTGTGTGTCTCGAAAGCTTATGCTACAATAAAGTGTGTTAGTCTTAAAGGTGCTACTCTGAGCTTTTTACTATTTAGGATCACTCTGTGTTTCTTCACCATTGTATCCAGAAACAAAAATCCACTGGTATTTGACTCTTACAGTTTATCCCTTTGCTTGCCTTGGGCTATTGGTGGTGGTTGACAGGGAATATCCAGCAGTTTTTAAAATGACAATGTTGCCCCCCTCATTGTATTTTTCTCAGTAGCTTGACTTTTTTGTTTGTTTCTGTGAAGCAGGACTTTAGTTACCGATGTGGAAAAGCTGCCTTGGCACAGTCCATCCAAAGTCAAATATTTTTAAGTTTCATTGACTCCCCACCCCCACTGGGAGAGTTAGCACATTGTGGCCGTCTCCCCCTTGGAATCAATTGAACTTAGAAATGCTTCACGGTGGCTGGATCATGCCCATTGTGTTCAGTTTCCGGTTTGTGCTGTGCCTGACGATGGAGGCTTCTGGGATACTTTTCAAAACCTGAATATTAAGTGTGGGGAACTCCTCCTCTTTTGACATTCCTTCTGTTTGCAGTGCTCATTTTGGAAAGTTTCTGTGGTTTGGATCTTGGGGATCTGTTTCCCCGGCACCTCCACTAGCAGGGCAGATCTGTAGGGTCCAGCCCCATATCTCCAAGTGCTCTCAGTTGTGTTCATAATATTTTGTTAACTTGTCTGGAATCTTATGACTGTGGTCATGTAACCAACAAAATGGGTTGTGCTGCATTGTTGAAAATAAACTTACAATATGGGCATGGTCCAGCCAACATTAAGGTACTTTTCAGTCCCATTAATTTCAACAGGAGAGATTTCAGCCCTTAAAACCTTTCTTACAGAAATCACTGGACTTCAAGAAGTGTTCAACCTGAGCTGAGTTGTGCCTTGTGTTTTTTTGAGTTCTACAGAAAGAGCAGTTCTTGAAAGAGCTCTCTCAGCCCCACCTACCTCACAGGGTGTCTGTTGTGGGGAGGGGAAGGGAAAGGAGTTTGTAAGCCGCTCTGAGACTCCTTTGGGTAGTGAAGGGCGGGGTATAAATCCAATCTCTTCCTCCTCCTCCTCTTCTTCTTCGTAGTGGTTAAGTGCACGGACTCTAATCTGAGAGAACCGGGTTTGATTCTCCCACTCCTCCACTTGCACCTGCTGGATGACCTTGGGCAAGCTGTAGTTCTGACAAGAGCTGTTCTTGAAAAAGAGCCGTTTCTGTCAGAGCTCTCTCAGCCCCACCTGCCTCACAGGGTGTCTGTTGTGGGGAGGGGGAGGGAAAGGAGATTGTAAGCCGCTCTGAGACTCCTTTGGGTAGTGAAGGGCGGGATAGAAATCCAATCTCCTCCTCTCAAAGCAGAGAGACCTGTGTTTGCCTCTTGAGAAGTCGGTTGTCTCTGTCAGTGTTTATGGGAATGCCTTTTTGGCAAGAAGCCGGCTTTCTCTGTGGCTGGTTCCCCCTAGGCCACTGCAGGGTGGGAACTGGCCTCTTTCTGTAAGAAAAAGCCAAGTGGGGAAGGTGAACAAGAGAGAAGATATTCCTCCTCTCCTTCCTTGGTGTTTGTCTGCTTTCATTGCTGGGCAGAAGGCCGGAACTCCCTGTGGGTCGATGTAATTATGGCTTAGAGGTATCTGGATGATGCAAAGACCCCCTCTGAACCTGTGCAGGGTGTGGGCTCTTCACATGCATGCCAGTCTCTGGCAGTGCTGTAGGACAAAAACATGCATTTAACAGGTAAATCACTCCTGTCTGAGGATCTTAGACAAGGTACATAAGATGTAGCTGCCAGCGATTTAGAACCGCTTCTGATACTGCAGGCCTTTTTCCTTAAAGAAGTACACTTCAAAGGTGTATTCTTATGTCTGGTTCAATACCCCGTTGATATTGGTGAAATTTTACGCATCTCCATTTGTAAGGTTCTTGGGGCAGGGACCTTGTGCTAAGAACCCTTCGTATTTAAATAGGTCTTGTCCCTCAGAATTAAAGCTCATCTTCAGACTACAGAGATCAGTTTCCCTGGAGAAGATGGATGCTTTGGAGGATGGTCCCTGTCCTCCTTTGGCTCCACCTCCAAGTATCCAGGAGTTTCCCCACCTGAATTTGGCAACCGTACCCCCCCAGGGGGGTCTCTTTCCAGCTTGGCCAGGTGGCAGCGGCGGGGACCCAGGTGAGCAAGACTGTTCTTATAAGTCTCTGGCCAACCATTTTGGTGCACTCAAGACATGCAAAATCCATTTTAAAAATACAAAAAGTAGATTTAAGCTTCTGCCTGATTCCTGGAGGAAATCTTATTTTATGCAAGGTGGACAGTCCTTTTCAGCGCAGCTCAAATTATGCAACTCTGTTACCTGCAGTCTTGTGTGAGGGACCCTTGTGGCCACTGTGTGGGATTGCCAAAGACCTTGAGAGGCTGCAGACGGGGTCGGGTGGTGGTGCAAACATCCTGGGAATTGTGTTTGTCTGCTTTCATTGCTGGGCAGAAGGCCGGAACTCCCTGTGGGTCGATGTAATTATGGCTTAGAGGTATCTGGATGATGCAAAAAACCCCTCTGAACCTGTGCAGGGTGTGGACTCTTCACATGCATGCCAGTCTCTGGCAGTTCTGTAGGACAAAAACACGCACTTAACAGGTGAATCACTCCTGTCTGAGGATCTTAGACAAGGTACAGAAGATGTAGCTGCCAGCGATTTAGAACCGCTTCTGATACTGCAGGCCTTTTTCCTTAAAGAAGTACACTTCAAAGGTGTATTCTTATGTCTGGTTCAATACCCCGTTGATCTTGGTGAAATTTCACGCATCTCCATTTGTAAGGTTCTTGGGGCAGGGACCTTGTGCTAAGAACCCTTCGTATTTAAATAGGTCTTGTCCCTCAGAATTAAAGCTCATCTTCAGACTACAGAGATCAGTTTCCCTGGAGAAGATGGATGCTTTGGAGGATGGTCCCTGTCCTCCTTTGGCTCCACCTCCAAGTATCCAGGAGTTTCCCCACCTGAATTTGGCAACCGTACCCCCCCAGGGGGGTCTCTTTCCAGCTTGGCCAGGTGGCAGCGGCGGGGACCCAGGTGAGCAAGACTGTTCTTATAAGTCTCTGGCCAACCATTTTGGTGCACTCAAGACATGCAAAATCCATTTTAAAAATACAAAAAGTAGATTTAAGCTTCTGCCTGATTCCTGGAGGAAATCTTATTTTATGCAAGGTGGACAGTCCTTTTCAGCGCAGCTCAAATTATGCAACTCTGTTACCTGCAGTCTTGTGTGAGGGACCCTTGTGGCCGCCATGTGGGCTTGCCAAAGACCTTGAGAGGCTGCAGACGGGGTTGGGTGGTGGTGCAAACATCCTGGGAATTCCCAATTGTGCTTGCAACCCGATAATAAGATTAGAAACTGGGTTGTGGACCTTACGATCAACGACATGGAGATACGCTATTAAGATGTATGACTTGTAAGCTGCCTTGAGTCACAGTAAAAGTAGGATATGAATATTTGAATAAATAAGTAGTTTGGGCAGGTAGATAACATTTAAGCAACTTCCTGTTTGCTGGGTTAGGCAGGGTTCTGACAGTGATTGTTCCACCTCTGTTATACTTGACCTGTAAATTTGTCATATTTCACTAAAACAAAAAAACCAAAGTAGACTGCAAGAGTTTTCTTCCCCCCAGCCCCTAGTTAGGGATTTTTTTTGGAAG